TTTGCATCAACTTGTTGCGTAGAGTATGAATTAGATAGGTATAGTAAACTAAACTTGAAAGATAGAAATATGCCATCGTGAATTTTTCTGTAAAATATATAAATAAAAGAAAAACAATCCCGCCATACTTTGTTTTATTATATCTCAAACGGATTAGGCAGCGTTTTCGTTGAAAGCTCCCAGTCGACTTAATTTCTTCCGACATCTTAAACAATGATCGTCATATTTCAATAAAATAATACAAAACAATATTAAATTTTATAATATAAAATAAAACTTCCTCTTCAATCATTCTATCTATTGATTAAAACTACATTGAAATCCGTTGTGTGCTTTAAAAGATCTAAGCGTACAGACGGCAGGAAGCGACTTTTTATTATTATTTATTCGCCATATAGTTCCAGTATAGAATGGGTCACCCCTTCCTTTCTCGTGGGTTTTTTTATACAACTTAGAATGAGAAACAAGCTGACGGTCCACCTGATGGAAAGTGGTAACCGTCGCCTATAGACATGAGCAGTACCATGCACATAACAGAGTATATTGTTTCGCCCATGATACCCCCCATGCGTTGCCATTCCTGGGGACTCTGATGTTATTCCTCTGTACCCTGTAAATTCACGCCATATCCCACCCTTCAAACCGAAACTCAGCCATGCAAACACAACTGCCATAGTTGGCAGACGGGTTAGCAACCGCAGTTAAGCTTTTAATGATGTTTTAAGAGGAACGCTGTTAATCCTAAATCCCTCTACCTTTAAGTTATCTTAGTCGCCTTTTACGACACCCAGAAGGAGACTTTGTACAATAGTCGTTTGCTTCGGTACCTCTGTCCCAATCGCGTTTCTACCGTGAAGTAGTTGCGTTTGCATGGCTGTGTTTCGGTTTGAAGGGTGGGATATGGTGTAAATTTACAGGGTACAAAGGAATAACACCTGAGGACTCAGGTGTCACTACAAAACAGTAATTCCATGGTACTGTATAATTTTTTTTGGGCCGTCAGCTTTTTGCCAAACAAAAAACATTTTATTCTGACATCTAAAACAGCCTTACATCTTTACGAGCAAGTGTTTTTTTTTTTTTACCAATGAAACTGAATTCTTCCATAATAAACGACGAAAAGTTTTAAGCCAGCCGTACTAACATGCCGCATCCAGCCCACGTAAAATGAGAGGCTCAAGTTCTTTATCTTTTTTTAACCCAGTTGTCTGTTTAAAAAGAATTCAGTTTTATTGATTGAACACTGATAGATAGATAAAAAACAGAAAAAAAAATAAACAGCGTTTAACAAAAGGGTATACAAAAATTTTTTTATACGTAATATAATATGTGAAAATGAAATATGTGTACCATAGCGATGCAAAAATACAATAACTCAGCGAGTTGTTTGCTTAATATGTAAAATGATGTGTGTGTATATGTATGTGTGTGTGTGTGTGTGTGTATATGTATGTATGTATATATGTGTGTGTATATATGAATATAATTTTTATATATTTTTAATTTGCAAAAGATGCTTTTTTAATTATACAGCACTATCATATCTACTTGTACAACAATTAGTCCATTACCTTAAGGTTGTCTTGAAAAGATTGCTCTCAGCAATAAGACCGCCTTACTGCACTTGTACAATTATATCGTTGTGTTTGTAAATTGCCTTGCTTATTTCCTATATTGTATAATGCAAATAAAGTATACTCATTCATTCATATGTATTATTGTGTACAGATATGTATGTATTTTGATTTTAATTATATGAGTTACTATGTCAACAATTTATTTTTTCTTAATAGCAACAACTATACTGTTTCCTTCTCTTATTGTACGCACACTGCCCGCTAGTAATTCATGTTCCTTTCCACTCAGGGTTTGCTGGAAGAGAACTCTTACAGAGTTGAGCTCGTCTGTTGTACATCTTTATTTAATATATCTTTATTTATTTATTGTGTGTAGTATAAAATAAAATGAATAAATAAATAATTATTAATAAATTCGATTTAATGTGAATAATACTTACTCTCGAATACTTTCCTTTAAAAAAAAACATATTCCTGTAATATTTTTTTGTAAATCACATTTCTTTTAAAATTCCAAATCAACACTTGATCCTTGGTCCTCAGAAAGTAAAGGACTCAATAGACAGAGGTCAGATTGATAAGTTCTGTGGTTCCCGGTCATTCAGTCCGTTTCCTTTGACCCTTCCTAGTATATGACAATGGTTGTCAGACATGTTTTAAAAACAGAACCAACTCGTTTTGATACTTTTAAAATGTTATCGAAACATCATTATATTTATAATAACGAAATTATCATGTACAGATTTTCTACATGTAATATACTAGCTTTTACGCGCGGCTTCATCCGAGTTATCTTCACTAACCAGGGTAAAAAGCCTAGGCCTATTCTCTATCTCATATAGTACGTATATATATATATATATATATATATATATATATATATATATATATATATATATATATATATATATATATATATATATATATATATATATATATGTATATATGTTATAAAACCAAAATACAACCATGCAAACACAACTGCTTCACGGTTGAAACATGAATTGTACAGAGGTACCCAAGCAATCGACTTTGTACAAAATCTCCCTTTGGTGAATAATAATAATAATAAATTCCATAGTATATAAATTTATAAATTTATAAATTGGAATTTATTATTCCAATTTATAAATTTCACTTCAAATTATCTTTGATTACCAAATAATCAACAAAAACCACAAGTCTCGATTCCAAAGCCGTTTAGTATTTCTTGTCTAATTTTGTTTAGTGACCAATCACCTCAAAGCGTTGAAGGGCTAAGTTGATAAAAAATAAATAAATAATTTAAAAACATTTATATATGATAAAACAAGTTGTGGATGTAAAATCTGTCTGTTTGTCTATTTCTGTCTATTCGCGATAAGACATCATAAACTAACAAATATTGTTTACAGAGTGCATCAATGTAAATGCTATATTAATATTGTTACTGTTAATATTGTTTATTTTTTTTTAATTGTTAAATTTTATTATTATTAATTGAATAAATTGTTGATGTAACTTTATATCAATATGATTTTCCTTATAACACTAAAGTATCATGTACCCAATAATAATTTTGCATTATATTAGACTATTTAGGCGAACATTTGTAAAATGGATCAATAATTACAAAAATTACAAAAATAAAATATTAAATACAATGTATCTAATAAATTCCATGTATAAATTTCATTTAAATTATCTTTGATTAAATTAAAAAAAAACCACAAGTATATATATATATATATCTTTAGTATTTCTTGTCTTATTTTGTTTAGTGACCAATTACCTCAAAGCGTTGTAGGACTAAGATATAACAAACAAAAACTCATCACTATCACTACATATTATAAAACAAAATTCTCCGCCATGTTTGTCTGTCTGTCTGCCTTTTCGCGATATATATATATATATATATATATATATATATATATATATATATATATCTGTTGATTGATTCAGTTTATTAACATATTATTATATAAAAATATTATTAATAATTGAATAAATAGTTGATGTAACGTTAAATCACTTATATGTATGTATTAAATGTAATGTATCATGTACCCAATAATAATTTTGCATGCTTTAGACTATAAGGCGAACATTTGTACTTCACAGTGGATCAATATCTGTAAAAACAATGTTCTGGCAAATAAAAAAATTTAATGTAATCTAATCTATTATGTATTATCATTTATTTAAAGAATAATAGTTGAATTAAAAAAAAAAATATTATATATATATATATATATATATATATATATATATTTAAGAGCTTGCTCTTGTCGGTGGAGACTTGCCAATCCTACGATTTTCAGCGAATCTCTTCACCTCTTGATACGACACGACACCAACTCCTGTTCCCCCTGATCTGCCTGATGTATATATATATATATATATATATATATATATATATATATATCTGATGATTATTCAGTCAGCCAGATCACGCCAGTTTCGTCGGAACTATTCGCTTTTAGACGAAATAAACACTTGGATATTTACATAAACGTCCAGCGGTTATCATACGTCGAATCGACGGATATAATATAAATAAACGGTCCGTAATTCAAGTGCTCTATGAGTAAGCTAACATTTATTACAAGTATTTCTATAAATACCGTCAAGTTTCATTTCTAGTAACTACTTCCCTAGTAATTACTTCCCCCCCAATATGGTCAGGTCAAATCGCATTATATTTTACTATAGAAAAATATATTTTTTATATAACTTAGAATGGCAAACAAGCTGACGGCCCACCTGATGGAAAGTGATAACCGTCGCCTATAGACATGAACAGTACTATTGACATAACAGAGTATACTGTTTCGCCCATGATACCCCCCATGCGTTGCCATGGCTGAAGCCGCGGGTCACGACTAGTATTTAATGAATATTTCATTACACCGCTATCCTCATGTAAAAATATTCAATTCAAAATATTATGCTATCATTTAACAAACATAACAGTATTCACCGAAATGTCGAGAAAATATTTATTTTCAATTTTTATACGTTATTTTTATGTTACAGAAATGATTTCGCAAAATACACGTGTAAGTTAAATACAGAGTGTTTGTTACCAGGAAACCTTCGAATTAAGAAAAATACTAGGTTTTAACTTATGATACGTATCAATTAGACAGTGAATTTGTTGTATCTTTTTTTTTATGACACTGAGGTGCCAAACAAGCATACGGCCCGCCTGATGGTAAGCGGTTACCGTAGCCTATGAACGCTTGCAATACCAGGGGTATTACGCGCGCGTTGCCGACCCTGAAGAAACCTCTTTACCCCCCTTTTGAAGAATCATGCTGTAGTCTCTTGTAATCTGTTAAAAAAATAAAGTAACAAGCAAACAAATTTAATTTCATAAAAAAATATAAATATTTTACTATTATAAAATATTTAGTCGAAAGCTAACGAACAGGCACAAACCTGTGTGTCTCTGTGTATGCTGTAAGTAGACCAGCAGCATGGCTCCACCTGGTTGGAGTCCAGTCCCCAGAACTCCAGCTCCTCCTCGAACAGAGGACCGCACACATTTGTGGGGTAATGTAGCTTTCCAGTCCTGAAACAAAATATATTTGAAAATATTTATTTGTACCACCAATAAACATCTCTGCTTGTCCCAATAAGAGAAAGCTTACGTAAAATTTAAATAAATAAATAAATAAATAAATATGGTTTTTATTTTACATATATTGTTGACGCCGTCAGTTTTATTATTTCAACTATAACAAGCTAATGCAAAAATGTAAGCATATATGCTCCACTATCCGTGCGAAGCCGGGGCGTGTCACTAGATTATGTATTAACGCACGCGACGAAATATATTTTATAGCTTTTTATTTTACACCTTGAGTTACGTTTCTAAAGTTTAAGTAAGGATCCCTAATCTTTTCTAGCAATAAATAACTCAGGGTAAATGTAGCTATCTAATGGTGAAAGAATTTTTGAAATCGGCAAAATAGTTTTTGTGTTTATTCATTACAAACATGCATTTTTTTTATACAATTCAGAATGGAAAACGAGCTGACAGCCCATTGGAAAGTGGTAACGTGCCTATAAAAATTATTATTGACATAACAGTTATTCGTCATTGAACATGAAAAGTAAAATTGTGTTTTTGATTTCCTCAGGTGTTATTGTTTGTACCCAGTAAATTCACGCCATATCCCACCCTTCAAACCGAAACAAAACCAAGCAAACACAGCTGCTTCACGGTTGAAACACGAATGGGACAGAGGTACCCAAGCAATCGACTTTCGTACAAAGTCTCCCTCATACACACAAAAATACAAATCATTCCTCTTTATAATATTAGTGTAGTAATAGATAAATTAAAAACAAACGAACATATCACGAGAAATGTAGTCGAATAGGGAACTCTCTTTGAAGTCAATATAGATCACGTATATCCACTAGGAGAACCACTCAGCTGTTCTAGGAAAATATGTTTACTTCACCGTCTAATAACGTTCGTCAATTATCCTAACTGCTTGCGTAATCCTTTACATTAAGTTCTTGTAAACAATATTAAATATTCAATGGTAAATTACATAGTGTTTAGATTAGGTGAATTTATTTCTCGAGATTGTAATGTTTATAACATATTTTCAGTATTTAAACATGATTTAAACGATTTTACACTTAAATAACTATCAGTTTAACTGACGTGTAATGTATGACGTATTTCAATCTGTATTTATGTTTCTGGTGCAATAAAGAATTAAGACCAGAGGGAGACTTTGTACAAAAGTCGATTGCTTGAGTACCTCTGTCCCATTCGTGTTACAACCGTGAAGCAGTTGTGTTTGCATGGCTGTGTTTCGGTTTGAAGGGTGGGATATGGCATGAATTTACAGGGTACAGAGGAATAACATCTGAGTCCTCAAATGGAAACAAAATCATGGGCGAAACACATACTGTTATGTCCATGGTACTGCTCATGTCTATAGGTGACGGTTACCACTTTCCATCAGGTGGGCTGTCACAAAGTTTGCCATTCTACACACAAAAAAAAATTTATTGCACAAAAATATAATGCATATTTAAAAAAATATATATTAATTATAAAACTCATATTTTTTGATAAATCTTTCATTATTCATCCACTGTCAATATAACCCTCCCCCATATCCACTATGAAGAACGGTCAGCCACCTGTTCAATGCCAATATGTTTACTTCACCGTCATAATAACGTTCGTCCAATTATCCAACTGCTTGCTTATCCTTCGGGTTATGTCGGTTATTTTGGTTCTTTTAAACAATTTTTTTATTCAACACAGGGAAATTACATGCGTTTAGATTAGGTGAATTTATATCTCGATGATAACAGTAAGTTTATAACATATTTTCAGCGGCATTGCAGGTGTGCTGCCGGATTTTAAAAATAATATGCTCTTTAACTTGAAGGTAATGTTGTCGTATTTCGGTCTGTATTTATGTTGCTGGAAAGAATTAAGATTCCAAAGAGTGGTTGTGCGTGGAAGAAAGTGCCTTGAAATCGCACGGTGGAGGACCACCACTCGTCCAGATGGTTGGGATAAAATTTTAGTTTATGGTGGGTAGTACGATGATGAAAATCAGCATCATTTCAGGATTCTCGTTTCGGATTCTATCAGGCTTAGCTTTACCATATTATAAATGTTAAAATGAGTTCGTTTATTACCTTATAGCGCCATGACGGCTTAAGCAATCACTATGAAATTTGGTATACACGGTTACAGGCTATTTCTTATCTCTATCACTGAACATCCGGTCACGCAGACGGAGTCACGGATAAAATTTAGTATATTCCTTATAATATTTATAACTATCTTCAACACTCTAAATTGCTTTATAAATATCATATATGTTATAGATTTACATTATTGTACATATCCTCTCAACTGTGTCATGCAAAATGGTGGAAAATCCACATCTGTGGCGTCCCTGATGAACACAGCCATAAAGAACGGTCCTGAAAAACCATTTTTCCTGAAATGCCACTCAAGAACCTTTAAAACTTCAGATCAGATTTATATTCCAACTAGATTTCTTATGTAATTTCTTACTCTACACTCGAATTGCATTGCAACTATTCTATGAGAAATAAAATGGGATCACCTATAAATTACCTTTTATTTTTCAATTATTAAAAAACTAAGACTGCTGGAAGTTATATTTTTTGTACAAATTATATACTTAAAGAATTAAAAAAAATGGCGGTGGAGGACTGTTCCAGATGGTTTTTTTTAGTTTTTTTGCACTTGTTTATAAACATGGTGAAAATCAGCAGCAGGTATCAGATTCTTGTTTCGGATTTCGGATCAGGCATATCTTTACTTAATAATATTTATAACTTCTTCTTCAACACTTTAAATTGCTATATAAATATCATATATGTTATACATTTACATTATTGTACATATACATATCTCTATATGTATTTAAAAAAAGAACAGAGTTCCGTGCCTCCAGTCAAACTGTTTACAATTACTCCTCTCCATCCAAAGGTTGCCTGGAAGAGATCGCTTTTAGCTATAAGGCCGTCCATTGTGTTCTTAATGTAATATTTTCTTGTAATTGTTTGTATTTATAATAAGTTTACTATTGTAATCTTATGGAAGAAACAATAAAGGGTATGTATCTATCTATCTATGTTAGAATCAAATGCAGCTACGAGTAGGCACCCCTGTTTACTGAACTTATAAAGGAATTTCCTGTTTCACATGGCTTGTTGATCTTGGTAATCGTGTTTGTGTACATAAACCACTATTCGAGCCACACACTATATAGATACAATAATAAGCCAATAATACACAGAATCTGTACTAAATCAAATGCAAAAATAGTTCAAATAATAAGTAACAAGTAACTTCCGACCATCGTACAGCTCGCTATCGACAGGGAGTTCACCCTCGTACCTTAGAGCTGAGATTTTTTTTTATACAACTTAGAATGGCAAACAAGCTGACGGCCCACCTGATGGAAAGTGGTAACCGTCGCCTATAGACATGAGCAGTACCATGGACATAACAGAGTATATTGTTTCGCCTATGATACCCCCCGTGTGTTGTCATTCCTGAGGACTCAGGCGTTATTCCTCTGTACCCAGTAAATTCACGCCATATCCCACCCTTCAAACCGATACACAGCCATGCAAACACAACTGCTTCACGGTTGAAACACGAATGGGACAGAGGTACCCAAGCAATCGACTATTGTACAAAGTTTTCCTCTGGTAAGAGGTTAGAGCTGAGATAATCGCATACAGTGCAGTTTCAAAGATGTTTTCTCTCACAAACGCTCAGGTTATGAAATGAACTCCCTGTCGAGATATTTTCTAGAGACTACAGCATGGGGTTCTTCAAATAATGGGGTGATAAGGTTTCTTCAGAGTCGACAGCGCGCGCGTAATACCTCTGGTATTGTAGATGGTACAGGCTGTGAAGACCGTAAGTGCATAATATTCTAAATATCATTTATATAAAAATACGATTACAATACATAAACATACATATATAATATAAATAATAATACATAAATATATAAATGTACTAAATAGATCAAGGTAAATCAGTAAGTACTTTATATTATTCTCAATTTTGTGTATAATATAGTATATGTCATATATGTATAAGTGTATTTGTTATTTATATATGTTTATTCATTTATATAATTAATTTTAGTATGTATGTATATCAATAATTACTAGTACCGCATTCGAGTATTCTGACACTTCCCTATGGTTGACTGGGAGAGAATGCTTTTAGCATTAAGTCCGCCAGGTACACATATATGTACTAATGAATAAATAAATAGTGAACTTTCTAATGAATGTAATGTCACGTTTGAGCCATAAAAAAATCACGTCATACTTCACCAAAAACCAGCATCTATTCAATTTTTATTTTTATGATCCTATATATAAAGAAACTTGTACATTTATAAAATACAAGCACGAGGGTACCTCGTTCCACTCGGAAAATTACAAAGTTTATTGTTCAACAAGTTGCGCCCAACAGCGCCATTGGACAAGTACTTTTATATAGAAAAAGGGATAAAATGAGAAATCAATATTATTATAATCTGCAATAATGAAATGGCTTTATAAAACGAAGCCTTCTAAATATGGTGAATGCGTATTTTTCATTTATTTTAATAAAATTGTCTGCCAGCGATTTCGTTCATATGATATAGACATACAAATGCTTCGCCATCGGGGGGAAAAGGATTGTTAGTAATGGAGACTGAGAATCCCATTGCTAGCAATATACCCAACCAGGTCGGCCTCCTCGCGGTTCTCCCTGGAAACTATCATGGTTAATTCCTGATGAATTCATCATGATGGGCTAACTGACCTGTTTTCATTCTCATCTATCACCCTTCACTGGTGCTCCGCCAGCGTATCCCGTTAGCGCAAGCGGGGTTACTATACTATTTTCACCCATAAAAAAATGATTCGCTAAATACTGGTCAATATTTTGTTTATGTCCGATGCGTCGATAAAATGATAATTGTTACAATTTTTTCCTGTCAATCTGTAAGTTTGTTCCGACATCACGCAAAAACCAGAGGGAGA